TTGGGGGAAAAGTATCCTGTTTTATGTTCAGTTTGATTACACAGCACTAGCACAAGTGACTACATTCTGGTTTAGATGGCTGGGGCCTAGTGCAGGAGCTTAGTCCCCATGGCCTCCAAAAATTGTACTCAACACTCTCAACCAGTGGCACTAAGGTATGCTTGCCCATTCCTACCAGTTCAGAGGAAGTCAACGGAGAAGCAGAAACTCCAGTCACCTTCCATTGGTAATAACCCCTCAAGCAACCTCTGCGGAGGCCATGAAGGAACCACAATAACCACGCCCTCTGGTTCCCCTAAGGAACCATAATAACCAGGCCCTCTTCCCCTACCAGCCAAGCTATTATCAGCAGGGACTAGTGAGAGCCCACCTGGGCCCAGCAATAACAGGGGACTCTCCCCTACCAGGTGTCAGAGGTAGCTATGTGGGAAACCAGGCCCTTTACCCCATCTAGCATTAACAAGGCAGCATCCTCCATATTTTCCACCAGCTACCTAACTGGTACCAGAGGAAACCTGATAAAGAGGATTTAAATAAGGTCCAGAGTCCCACGATACCCAAATGTCCAGGATGTATCAAAAAATCATTCATTATACCAAAATTTAGGAAAAACTCAACTTGAATGAGAGTCAGATGTTAACATCAAAATTACATAGATAATGAAATTTTATGACCTGAGTTTTAAACATCCACTATAGAAATGTTTCAATGTTTCATGAACATGTGAAACAAATGAAAAGATAATTTCAGCAAAGACAGCTAACACAAAGAAGAATCAACTGGAATTTTTAAACTAAAAAACAATGGATTTGTTCAACAGCATGGAGACAGAAGGAAAAAAAAAGTGAACCTGAAGACAGAACAGAAATTCCCCAATAATAAATGAATTTCAAACAAATGTACAGAAACTTAGGAACCAGAGTGACCACAATAGAAGATTTACAAGGTGTCATGAAGGACACAGAAGAGATGTCAGAGGCTCAAAAAGTATTCAAACAGCAAAAAACTTCTCAGATTTTACAAAGACAAACTTATGGACTCAAGCTAAGTGAACCCCAAATTGGATGAGTATAAAGAAACCCATGCAAATCCCGTAATAATCAAACTATTGAAAACTAAAGAACAAGAAAAAAGCTTTCAAGTAATGAGAAAGAAATGACATCCTCTCTAAAGAGGGAAAATGATTCAACTGACATCAGAGTTCTCATCAGAAACCAGGTAGCCAGAAAGAAGTAGAATATTTTTAAAGTAAAGAATTGTCAACCCCAAATTCAATATGCCTGAAACCACAGACAGTACTTAACCCTATGTATTCCAATTTTTACCTATACATACATACCTATTATATAATTTATGAATTAGGCATAGTAAGAGATTAAAAACAACAATAAAACAGAACAACTGCCAACCATATACTTGTAATAAAATTTGGGACCATTATAAAGTAAAATAAGAGTTACAATACTTAAACACAGTACTGCAATACTGAATCAACACCACAGTAGTCCTGTTGAGACAACTTCAACGGTACAGAAAAAGCAGCTAAGTTTACTGAAGTTTAAAGGGCAAAGTTAGGCACAGAATGAGCAAGCTTATGCCAGTGAAAAGGAAAATGTACAGGCAGGTGTTCAATGGGTTGGGCTTAAGGATTTGAAATGGTCAGTCTTTCAGAGCATGACTGACAGCACAGCATAAAGGGTGCTGAGTTAGTTCACCTGTATCCACTGCACTTGTCCTTTCCCAGCTCTGCCTCCAGGCAGTAGGCCCCAGGACCCAGGATAAAGGTCTGGGGATTTGGCCCTGGGAGATTTGCCCCTGGGGTGGTCAGGTTCAGGTGAGTGGAGGGTAGTATCCTATAGATCCAGTTGTACTATCTATATTACCTGTGAAGTGAACATAGCCACAACCAGTACCTAGGGAAAGAAGTCTCTACATTCCAGAGGACTGACACTTCTGACTCTTACAATGAGACACAGGCCTCAGAAAATCCTTTTTATCCCTCCTGCAGCATCAGTAGACCAGTAACAACCCAATGGCACCACGTGAAAAAGGAAACTGAAAGCCGGGGATTTAGCTCAGTGGTTCCGCTGCCTGCCTAGCAAGCACGAGGTCTCGAGTTCGATCCCCGGTACCAAAAAGAAAAAAAAAAAAAAGGAAACTGAAGATCATAACATTGTCAATTTGAACTACAGACCACAAAAGTAGGCTTACATGCCAAAATAAGATATACATAGGACTTAAATTTTACTAACACAATATACAAAATTCCCAGGATACAATCAAAACCATGTTACAGCAAGAACCAGATCATTCAATTCAAATTAGAAAAGCCAATCAACTGACATTAATATTAAAATAGCTCAGATGATGGAATTACATAAAAAGTATTTTAGGGCCGGGGATTTAGCTCAGTGGTGCCGCCGCCTGCCTCGCAAGCGCAAGGTCCCGAGTTCGATCCCCAGTACCAAAAAAAAAAAAAAAAGAAAGTATTTTAAAGCAGCAGACAAAAAATGCTTTAGCAATCAATTACAAATTCTTCTGGAATAAACAGAAATTATAAGACTGAAAAATACAACAGAAAAAAAAATACCAAATGGGTTCAGTAATAATAAAGTCATGATGGAGTATAGAATCAGCGAACTTGAGAGCAAACGAATAAAACTTACACAATCTGAAAAACACAAAGAAAAAAGACTAGGGGAAAAAAGGGACTAACAGAATTATTGTATATGACATTAATGTAAGATCCAGTGTTCACATTATGGATATGAACAGATGATGAAGAGCAAGTAGAAACAAAAGTATTGTTTTAGAAATAATCGTTAAAATCTCCCTAAGTTCGGTGAAAGACAAAAGCCAAGAGTCAAAAAAGTTAATAAACACTAAAAAAGATAAACTCAAAGACATCTATGCCAAGACTCATCAAAATTATTCCAAAAACCAAAGACAAAGAAAAAGCTTGAAAAGCAGCTAGAGATAAATGAATACAGTACCTACAAAGTACTGAAAACCAACTTGGGTGGCAGTGGATTCCTCATCAGTGTATTCATGAGGCAAAAAGGGAATGACAGATTTTTCCAAGGGCTAAGAACTGGCAACCAGGAATTCTAATCCAACAAAACTCCCATTAGGTATTAAGAGAAAATGAAGGCATTACTATATGATAGAAATTTAAAGATTAGTTATAGAAAGTTCTTTATAAAGAAGGGAAACAGAATTCTGGAATATCGAGAAGGAAGAACAATACAAAAGGGAAATATAGGTATATGCAAGAAACTATCCTTATAATCATGAGTTTTACCAATATTTGATGACTGATCAGAAATTCTAACACCATCTGATCCTCAGAACATGGCATTTAAAGTGTGAGTCCTAAATGGAAAAAAAGGCTTCCAGGCTTCATTGGAAACAGTAAAATCCTGATACCAACACACTGGAACAACCAGATCAAACACTTGAAAACTATACACAGACGCTCAAAACACTCTACAGATAACCAGTGTTCAAGTAACTGCCCCTACCACCAAAGGCAAGAGAAGAGAAATATGGGAAAGAGAATCTGAAGAAACAAAACAATAAAATGCCACACTAAAGTTCTTATATACCAATAAGTACCTTAAATTTAAATGTCACCAATCAAATGACAGCTTGGCAGAGTAGATTAAAATCACAACCCAAGGAGAAACCACTTCAAATTCTACAACACAGATAAGCTGTAAACTAACACTATGCAAACCTAAATTAAAAAAATTTTAAAAAGCGTAAGTGGTAAAACTTCAGAGTTAAGAAAATTATCACAAAGTGATAGTATATTAAAAAAAGGACAACCCACCTAGAAGACACCAGATTTGAATGTGTATTCACCATTAGACAGAGCTTCAAAATACATAAAGCAAAACTGGTAAGACTCAAAATGCGATAGAAACTATTTTGAAATGCGAGGCATATTTCCAAATAATCATCTCCTAAAATTAACTATTTATAAAGAATTACTAAAGCAATTACTCTTATAGCTAACATCAAAGAGAAAAGGAGAAATTGTAGCTCTGGAAACTCCACTTCCTCACAGACATTCTGAAAACGGGCACGGTGCATATAGGTTTTCCTGTAATCTTCAACGTTCCCATAAGAAAAAATATAACTCGCCTTTTTACAGATGAAGAATTTTGGGGGTCAGAGTTTAAATTAATTGCCTAAAATCAGTTAAGTAAATGGGTCAACATCTAATTCAGCTCTTTAACAGTACATGCTGTGATCTCTTATACAGCATTGGTCTCTCAGACACCCAAAATTTATTTGAAAACCATTATTTGAAAACTCAGATTCTGAATCAATGGGATATTGAGTGAAAACTGTATTTTTCACTCCGTGTATTGCTATGATACTTTTAAAAGTTTCCAACAGTATTCTTTAAAGTTTCTTTTTAAACAGAACAGTTTTATATTCTTTGGGTGAGACAGGTTAAATATGAGCTAAATTCAACTGCTGGCCTAGGTAGGGTATGAGACTTCCATTTTAAACCAAAGGTCTGAACATCTTAATTCAACCACTAGACTGTGGCCCCACTAAACAATTTAACCTTTCTGAATCTCCAACTCCAATTCGTAAAAGCAACATTACTTGCCAACAAAAAGTACTTTCTATATACATGTCTAAATTAAAAGTGGATTTAACAGGCAAATCGAAATGTGTCACCTACATTTCACATCTGTGACAATTTGTGACACTGAATAAGGTATGTTTTTAGCACTGTAATTAAGTTTCACCCGTCCTCTCAGTTAACAAGGTCACACGGGTAAGTTTGGGGGCCAACTGTGAGCTATCAGTGAGGCGACACTGGAGTCACCTCCTCATTAGAGGAGAAGGGTGACCCACGGCCGGCCCTCGCTCGATCCGGAGTCACCTGCTCAGCCCAGGCGCCCGGCTCCTAGGCGCTCAGCGGGCCTCGCGGGCGACGCCTGGGCGTCCCCGGAGGTGTCGAGCGGCCCGCCCGCCGTTACCTTCCGCGCCGGTCGGCCCCCGGCCCGGGCCCCTCGGCGCTGTAGTAGGCCGCGCGTTTGTGGCTGACTGCGGCCGCCGCCGTAGCGCTGCGCACCGGGTACAGAGGGATCTGGTCCGCCATGTTCGGCCGTCCCTACCCGCTCTTTTCAACTCGGCGTCTCCCCCAACCCTCTCCCCTCAGCCCCAGCCCGACTGAGGAGCCGCCCGCATGCCTCCCGGCCCCAGCGGGGTCGCTGCCGGATGGCGTCAAGGAGAGGCAGAAAACGGAGGGCGTGGCCAAGCAGGTCCCGCCCATCTCCAGTGTCCAAAGACATCATGGCGAAAGCTCGCTACAGGCGTCCATAGGCCCCGCCCCCGGCACGCCAGGGTTGATAGCGTCACTGAGCGGTGGGGCTTGCCCGGCTGATACCCTGTACCGGAGGTCCAGCTGCTTCGAAAGGCCGCTCCGCAGTCTTCCGGAAGCCGGCTGATGGTCTGGCTTACCACGGTCGGGTCTCGGCAAACTCGCGGAGACACCCATTGGGTCAGCAAACCACTTCCCCGCCGGCCTCCCGCCTTTGGGAGTCCCTGAGCTCCCCGCACCTCTACGTCGACACCTGCAGGGTTCCCTTCTAACTGTGGAGGCCGGCCAAGCGCCAACGCGGATTCCGGGCGAAAATTCAGTCCTCGCTCCTTGCTCCCTCAGAGTTTGAGTTCCTACTTAATTCATTTCTTAGTCCCGTCTCTCTCCAAACTTGTTTAGATTCCTCCTACGCTTAAAAAATGGCTAAATTTTATTCCCTTAAATTACTTCGAAAGAGAAGTAACAATTTATAGTTCAGAATTTTGATTTAAGTTATTTCTGCTTTTTAAATTTGAGATTTACTTTTGGCCAGGTATGCCGTAAAGTTTTTAAACTTTATATATAGCGTAATTAGGTTTTGTATTCCAAGATCAAGAACGCTAAGGGTATGATGATGTTCTAAACTCTACCCCAGTATCCATGATCTCTGTAATGTTCCCAGCGATCTTGGAGAGGGATGTGGTCTTTGAGGCATTAGGTCCCCTGGCGCTCCTCAGGACACTACTAGGGTTCTCTAGGCAAACAGAAACAGTAGGAGATTATCTGTAGAGTGGTATATGAACATCTGTGTGAGGAATTTATTGTTAAAATACTAGCTTATGTGATTATGGAGGCTGAGAATTTCCACAATCTGCGGGCTACTAGCTGTAGACTCAGGAAAACCCATGGCGTAGGTTCCAGTCTAGGTCTGAAAGCATAGAACCAGGCCAAGGCAGGAAAAATGAATGTCCATCCAAAACAATTACACCCTTTTCGGCTGTCAATGGATTGGATGATGCCCGCCCATGTTGGGGGGAGGTGTCGTCATCTGCTTTATTCAGTCCACCAACTCCAATTCTAATCTCTTCGCGAAACACCCTCGACAATCAAATGGAGAAATAATGTTTACCAGCTAGGTAACGCCACTAGGCATTCCATGGCCTAGTGAAATTGACACACAGCCTTCAGATTCCTACTATTTATAATAAAGCCTCCAGAAACCCTCATTATTCAGGAAAAGAGTTACTCACAGAACATCTGCCATCCCTAACATTGAACAATTATTTTGGAAAATCCTCACTTGTCCCCTTCAACCAAGGATGGTCAGGTATACCTGAAGACTCATTGAAACAGCTCCCACACTTCCAAAGCTCCCCACTTAATGGAATGCTTGTCAGAGTATCCTATTTTTACTCCATAAAATTTAACTTACTGTCACCCTTGAACTCCTGCTGAAAGTGAGAGTAGGTGAGTAGGTGGGTTCCCTTGCTCCGAGTTTATAAATACCATTTAGATACTGTTCCAGAGTTGCCTTTAACAATTTATTTGTTGCAATAACCATATCTTTATTTCAAAAATTCATCTGCTCATTTTCTCATATATTTTATTTCATTTCTGCCTGCTTTGTCTCATAATTTCATTTGTTTGGAAGGGAACCATTTTGATTGTTGATCTTGTGTTCTCTTTTTTTTTGGTACCGGGGATCGAACTTGGGTCCTTGTGCTTGCGGAGCAGGCAGTGGCACTACTGAGCTAAATCCCCAGCCCCTGATTGTTGATCTTAATATGGGTGTTGGCATTAGATTTCTTCATACGTCCTGGAATTTAGGTTTGCAGAGACATTTTAAATGGCAGACTGAGAAGGGCTCTCCATTATTCTTTTCATCATTCTCAGGCTCATCCTTCATCTCCTTCTTCCCTGTCCTTACTCCTTATTCGGTAATGTCACTGTTATTTGCACCTGCGTTTCAGAATACAATTCTACTGTGAAATTTCAAGAACCCCAAGGACAGGCATAAAATGGCAAATCCAGAATTTGCAGGAAGCTGATTCATTTGCTACCCATAGGCCCACAGCCTGCAAAAAGGCCCTAGGCAACAGTCAAGAAGCAGGGTATTTGCTGGTTGGTTGGTTGGTTAATGTATTCATCTGTTTTCTGTTACTATCATGAAATATCCATTGCTGGGTAACTTTATTTTTTAAAGAGAGGATTTATTTAACTCATGGTTTTGAAAATTCAAGGACTTCCTTCTGATGATGATCTTGCTGACAGTCCGGAGGTGGTATAGGACATACATGGCAAGGATAAGGAGTGTGCATATGTGTCTGTGTTCTAATCTCTCTCCTTATAAAGCCAAAAATACTCAGTTGTGGGTACTCCATCCTGATGCCTTTAACCCTAATGACCTCCCCAAGGCCCCACTTCCTTTTTAGTTTTAAATTTTTTATTTGTACTACTATATGTTTGCAGTACATAATGATTATATTCATTGTGGGGTATTGGTACATGCACGTAACACATCTCAATTCCTTTTTTAGCCATTCCCTTGGATGGCCCCCTGTTTTTGCCAACATCAGATTCAATTATTTATAAGCACTTACAAAGTAAATTATTGTACAGATTAACAGCCAGACTAACAAGCCAAAAAACATACAGAACACATAAGACAATTATGCTAAGTCAAGGTACACTTTTAGATACATTGTTGTCCATGCTAGATTACAATAACTTTTCTTTTTGCCTATTCTGTCTTTTGCACTATAGTTGTTGAGTTTCTCATATAAGAGAAATCATGTGATACTTAAGCTTGTATGTCTGATTTACTTAAAATTACAGCCTCAAGGTGCATCCATTTTCCTACAAATGACTCACATTTATCCTGTGTTATGGCAGAGTAGTATGCCACTGTGTAAAAAACACCACATTTTTTATCCATTGATCTGTTGATGAATACATAGACTGCTTCCAAGAGTTAGCTATTATGAGTTGTGCTGCTATAAACATGGGTATGCATGAACTATAATGTTTTGGATTTTCTTTCTTGCTTCCTTCCTTCCTTCCTTTCTCTCCTTTTTACTTTTTTTTTATTAAATTCTTTTATTGGTACATTGTAGGTATACAACACAATTACATTTCTCATTGGGAATTGTACCTTTACATAATGCA